ACAAGGCCACTCCGGCATAAAACTGTTTGTTTGTTGAACTATTTGTAAGATATCCGGCTCTGGCATCCCAATGTTCTGCTTCCAATTTATCACTCCAATTCATTTCCATGGCTTCTTTAATGGCCCTGTTCTGACTAAAAATTAAATTCAATATACAGACACAGAGCTGGAAATGAAAGAGATCCGACACGTACGAACAACTAAATCACTTGATAACAAATTAAAACAGACAACTTTAAATAGAACACGTAATAAGATAACGTTGGTATATTGTTTCGTTTCTATCGCTTATGCACAGAAGACGGTAATGTCATCGTATGAAGCGTTATCTCATCGGTAACTAGGCCACTGTTTTACCTACAGAAGTTACGTCGTCGGAATGTTTCTTTGGGGATTTAGTGCACCCAAATCACGCTCTAACAATAGCGATCGGCAAAGACAGACAGCTGGTGAGTTAATAACCGGAATTCGCAGTCAGGACGTAGCACTGAGCGAACCGAAGTGCGGTACATACTCCTTTTAAGACGTTGCAGTGTCACATGATTTAAACAGGCAAATGTTACCAAGGCCTTGCTACCCAGCGCGCCATCTCGGTTTCAATTCTACCGCGAACTGAGACAATAACTGGAAGGTAGACAAGCTTGTCAACAAATGTAAGATGTTCACCACTGAAGGTAAGCCTCAGCACAAGTTCCAGTAAATCTTGAATCAGTGCACTTGACAACTGAAAGGCAGAAACTACAAGCACGGTCGGTTGCCTGATCGCTGTTACACGAATTTCAATTTGTTACTAGTTTTTTTCTATCTCTGATTGGTTGTAATAAAGCCGCGCTTTCTTCTGTCACAATCTTTATTCGCATTCACTTTGGAACTGAATTAAATGCCAAGTTCTGGATCACTGTCTTCGCGTGATTCCTTAACTCATAGGAGCGTCGATTCAAAGTGAATAGAAAGTTGTTTTATTACACACTCTGAACCGAAAACAATCTGTTATCGATGTTCATCTGGTCGCTCAACTTCAATCCACGTAGCGTCTTTTTTCGCAGAACTCAAGAAAACCACATCTGGGGAATTAGGTTTCTCTTAATGAAGAAAAGGAAAAATAAAAGAAACGCTGGTGCGGAAATAAAGCTGAACTGGTGATCGATAGCGTGCGGATAAATATGTTTGTTTTATTTATCTAGTTTATTTTCTAATTGATTAAGAGCACATACGCGATTTGGCACTCGGACTGTTCAATAGTTTTCTTCAACACTTCCTGCACACTGTGAATGACATCGAACTCCTGTGGAAATGGAAAAGGATAAGAAACAAAGCTTGTTCATTGCAAATATTTGCACAAATAAAACTTAGATAACACTAACCAACGATTTGTAATCAATTACATATATTAACAGAACCAACGTGTGTGATTTGAATGGATAGGTGGGCGAAAACAAACCAAACTTACGCTTCCAAACCAGAAGTTCGAAAATCAGTTTAAACAGAATCGAATAATTCTTTTTCTAAAATATTTGCAAGATGGAACCAAAAATCCATAAAATTCACATGATTCCAACTTGGAAGAACTGCACAGCTGCTTTAATGCTGTCGTGTATCCATCCCCCTTCCACTAACTCACCTCCGGTTGCTATCGTCTTTTAAACCATCTACATTCAAAAAATGGAGAAAAGCAGCAGTCGAATGCATCGGTCTTACCAGGACAACGCAACACGGAATCGGAGAAACGTTTTGAATAGGTAAAACGAAATGCGTCCATGAGTGCTTCTGTTTTTCAGTCTGGAACGATGCCCCGTGATATGTCGTTGAGCGAATTTCCTATCCGGGTGCGATTTGTGTTGGAAGTTCAAACATTCTATTGGGCACCACTTCAGATTTAGGCATTTATTCCGCCTAAATAGGATAATGCCGCACGGTAAAAACCTATCTGAGTTAGAGAAGTGAAAAAATACCTGCCTAAAGGGTGGCAGATTAAAATAAAAGTAAGACTTCCAAAAATTCACAGATCAAGGAAAGTTATCCGTAAACTTTAAAAGACCCTGGTTGTAATAAATTTGGGAAGAAACGTGAAATACCCTGAAAACTTTCTTAGAAGGCCAACAGACAACTTTCTCCTGCCACATTCAACCGATTAGTTTCATATCCATTCAGATGAACATTGCTCTTCGTCCTAATCTACAGGCGATACACTTAGCGATGCATATCAACCACGGGAAGATAAATTTGGCACCTTGGATGACTGAACATCAAAGCACAGATTGAATTAATGTACTTTTGGCATGAAGAGCCAAACAGCAGGGTTGAATTCAACAACCTGGTGTCGTTGATGGTTAGGGTACTTATTATCGCGGAAGACAAGTCAAGATTGTTAGGTCTGGAAGAAAAGCGGACGACTGACTAGTGGACTGGAACTATGAAGCTCCGTCCCTTTGAATGACCTGTCTTTACGGAAGATCGATTGGGTTCCGTATAGACCGGTACCATTAGTACAGTGTTTATTGTATCACATTTATAAGCATCTGCTCACAACCGTTTGGATCCCTTTTTTAGCTGTTGAGGGTAGCTGACGAGATAAGAACATGCAGATAAAAGGAACTACTTGATGCCCCTTGGATGGGAGCAATTAATGACGTACCATATGATCACAAGATGGTTTTGTTAGCTTCCGATCACTTTGAGTCCTCCATGCGAGAAAAAAGATTGATTTTTAAGTCACCATTCAAATTCGCATACAATCCCAAGTACTGATAGAGTAGCACACTAAGTATAATGGTAGCATGTTTAAGCGTTCGCAAAAAAAATAAAAGAAAACTCTGAGGTGAAAACAGTATTTTGTGGGTTATTCTTTTATTTCACAACAGTTCAAGCTACCAATACAACCCATAATCCACTTTTTCTTCTGTGAGGTTCCATTCTTCGGAGTTGTTTTATTCTCAACTATTTCAATTTATTTTATTTGGTTAGAATTTTTCTGATGACCGACAAGAAGTATGGAGAAGCTGTTTCTTTTCACTTGAGAGATCGAGTAGGAATTTGTACACGATTAAGTTAATGTAGCTGTGCGCAATGTTATGATCATAGACTGTGTACTGGTGAATAGGGGTTTTGGCTTCTAACTCGAAAGATGAAGGCTTCATTGAAACAAAAAGCTTGAATTTTGCTGACGATTCTTATTGGGACCAAAACTTTCGTTCGGTTTTCTTTGTGGACCATTCAGTCTGATTGATTTTTATTCAAGTCTACCTCCCATTTGAATCCATCAAACGTCCAAATCTTAACAGCCATGGCTAAAGTTGGATTCACATATCAGACTTTAATAACCCAACGAACCGTCGAAAATGTTGTGATTTTGAAACATTGTCCATGATAAATCCACACAGCTTCTTTGAGACCGTTCGTTGTCACAGGTGATAATGCGTATTGATATTGAAGAATTATTGAAAATCGATTCTCGTAGCTCGAGTGAACTGAATTTCATCTGGCCTGTTCATTGAGCTTTTTAATTTGTCTGCAAACGTTTCAGCACTTCATCACTGCATAAGCTTTGAAGATTTCACCTCGTCTGGTAATAAAAGGTTTGCAATCAAATTGCCAAGCTCGGTGAACAGACGAAGTGAAATGAGTACTGCGGTGTTTCGCTCAGGTCTACACAATACTTTTCGTATATGCTAATTTAAACGCTTTATTCCTCCTGCTCTGTGTTTTCTTCTTTGGTTTGCAGTTTTGCGGTTTCCTAAACGCCAAAGGATGCTAGGATAACAGTGGGTTAATAACATTATACATGCATTCAAGCAATAAGATTAATTCGACAGTGCTTAGTTAATTAATTGATCATTATTGACAAACTTATTCATTCAAAATAGTGTTCCATACTAACTTTCAGAGTAGAATCCAATTTTTAGCTTAGAAGTGACTGGTTTATCTCCTAATCAAGTACTATATACATATTAGGTGCATTTGCAGACGATCCATCCTGTTAACACTCGTCAGCATATTTCAACTAAAAATTATTTCACTTTAACATTTTTACAGTGATGTAGATGTATATATTTATTATATACAAGCCAAAAGCACAGGTTTGCACCAGGTATCCTGGAAATACGCATCAGTCATTCAGTTCAATTTCAGTTTTTACAATCATTAACCGTGCACTTTTGTGTGCCGCTTTTGTTGGTATCTTTTGACCGTCCATTTAGATAAAGGAGGAGAATGAAGATTGAAGTGTTGCGAGCAAATTCAAAATGGAGATAGTGAGTTCATGTAGACTGTGGTTGCGAGAATAATGAGTAGATACACGAGCGCCAGGTATTAGCCATTCAAAATTTCCTTTCCAAACTATGTAAATAGCGTGAACGACTTATCGCCCTGACGCTTCCCTGATAAGAATGTGCTTGGTGAATGATTTTGCCCGCAATCTGTCTCCTCATATGATTCCGTTATCTCTGATCAAACATTATTGATCACATCAACTACGGAATATATATATATATATATATATATATATATATATAAACTTTACCGAATGATATCAAACCAATGCAAAGCAGCTCATACACTGATTAACACCATAATATACTCTCTTCTACAGCTATCTTTAATCCATGAGGAAAAACAAATTTCACAGTGATTTTTTATCAATCTAGGGTTTTTGAATAAGCAAAATTGCCTCAAAGAATCAGTGGGCATAATGTAATTGAAGAATTGGGATTTATTGATTTTCGTTACGTTCTACACAGTATTTGAAAGTGTTTTAAGAAAAAACTTTTGTGTATTACCCAGCAAAATTATGATGTCGGATTAGCAACCAGCGTATTCTGTGGTGAACATTACTAATTGTAGAACTATTCCGAGCATTCCACCTTGCCTTGACACTGATAAACTCTATTATTAGATTATTATTCACACAAACTATTGTTGCAGACGATGTTTATTCAAACGGGGTATTCTTCATTTCTTCAACTACTTAGAAGTCGATTAGGAGACTAGTATAGATTATTATCTGTTGTTTAATAAAAAGGAAATGCACTTAGAAGATCTTTGGGGAGAAAATGTTGTGTATTTTACTTAAGAATATTAATCACTGTACTTGTAAGCATGTGAAAAGACTCGTTGAGTGCCTAATGGTCGATTGTTTGCTTTTACGGATAACATGCAGTTCAAAAATAATGCGCCTGCAAGTTGGGGTGGATCACGTCATATTATGATCAGTGCGGTATCAAATTGAAGGTCGGGCATATTGAGACCTTTTTCAGTCCAACTGTGGAGAATAGTGAGTTGTGAAAACAAGCAAAACTCTTCATTTTCTCATCCACTTTGGTCAGTACGCCCCTAACTTCCAAGCATTTTACGAAGTAGTGTATGCAAAATTGGAGAGCTTTCAGCGTTTTCTGTGGCTACTATTGAATGACTTGTAGAATTCAGTGGCCAATTGGACGACAAAATTGTTGCAAGTGGGTATGCTGGTTAAGCGTCTTGGCGATTACAACTTCGATGAACGGTGCAAACTTTTCTAGCGAGTATCATTTGTACTGTTTGCAAACGGGGGCTTACCACGAATGCACGAGGGTTTTTTAGAGATATGTGCACTCTACTACAAACGGTGAACTTAAGTTTGCGCGTGAAGTCCGCAAAAATTTGTGAACTCATAAAGCGCAAGATGCACGTTATGGAAAGACTATAATATCCCCATAAAATTAAGTGGACTGCAAAAACGTGGCAGAAAAAGCAACGCTTACAAGGTATCAGGAGCTGGTGTAAAAACCATTACTTAGCAAAGTAGAACAATTATCTCGCACGTAACGCGTGCAACCGATAAAGCGCCGCACCATCAGGACCACGAAATCAACTTTTAACTTTAGCTTACTTCTGACAAAAAGCCCACAGCATACGTTGCGTGCAGAAGTAAATCACCTTAAGGCTAGTTGGGCAAGAAGGCCTTACGAAACTTCTGGGATCAATACAGGAGACCGAGCAGATTTCAACTGAAGGGTGTGAATCGACCTTCATACCGATTTACAAGAAAGGTGACAAATCTCCTTGCAAAAACCACCGAGGAATTAGTTTATTGAATATTAACTCTAAACTTCTCGCTGGAAACATACTTCGTCGATTGTATGCTGCACGTGAACGGTGCATTAGTGGGAAACATGTTGTTTTTGGACCTGGTGGAGGTTGCATAGGCCACATTTTCATACCTCACTAAATCTTAGACACTCCTTACATGGACCCACCATTTCTATCTTCCTCAATCTGAAAGCGGCTTTCGACTCAGTCGATCGCTCAAAACTCTGGCACTGCCTCCCTCTAAAGGGTTTGTCCGAGAAGTTTATTTCAATATTCCAATGCTTTTATATTAATAATCAAAATCTAGTCCGAGCTTACTGCATGTTTTCACCAGAGCTCACCACAGAAATTGGTGATAGTCGGGATTACGCTCTCTCTCTGTTTCCATTCAAGTTTTTCATAGACTTAATTCCTGAAACAGCCCTATCCTTGTGTGAGGATAGCGATATCGATTGGCTCCCAGGTAGCAGACCGTCTGACCTGGAGTATGCAGACGATATTGTGTTGCCATGTAAAGGTCTAGGTAAGCTGCAAGCTTTTCTGAATAGTCTGAGTGCTAGTATATCTATGTTGGGTAGGCATTTTGCAATGGTGTAAAATGTGGTTATAAGCTTGGGTTGGTCGAGCCCCAAACCTAACTCTGACTGGGGAAGTAAGAGAAGAAGGAGGCAAATTTTGCTATCTGGGACGTTGTATTTCACCTGGCGGGCTAGTCGGCAGGCAAACAGTAGGCTCAGTGGCACTTGCTAAATTGAGCCATCTGTGGTGCCAATGCGACATCTGGCTGTCCGTGAAGGCAGAGTGTATGCTGCAGCAGTTAGGCCAGTTGTGCTGTACGAAGCAGAGACTTGAATATTACAGGAACAGGATAAAACAGATTGTCGGTTTTCGAAGGCCGCTTTCTACGTTGCATCGCACTAGTCTAGAGGGGAAACAGAACGAGCAATGCTGAGACTAAGCTTAGAGTTTGAGGTAATTGCGGTCGTCCACTGGAGCAAGTGGTCGACATTCATAGACTACGGTGGTGGGACATGTGCTGCGCATATCACTAAATAGGTTGCATGGTGCACGATGTTTGCCAAAGCAGGTATTGGATGTAACACGGCCAAGCACGGTCAAACTAAGACCTTGCATGAGGGTATACAAACTCTAACCGGAACAACGTGTCACGAGGGTCCCGCTTGGCTTCCCGGATGGGGACCCCAACATCATGATACTCGGTGATTAAAGACTCTGAGTGATATGGCTGAGTGTCGGAAACACTGCCGCTCGTGCATCTACTCTATTTTCTTGCGATCACAATCTGTATTAGTTCTCCATTTTTCCCTCGAATTTGCTCCCAACTTTCCAACATTTGTTCTACTCTTTTGTTCAAATGGGTAGCCAAAACACTGGAAACAAAAACGATACAGAAAAGTGCATGGTCAATGGTTGCGAGAACTGAAAACAAAACAAGTCAAAAACTTTACTGTTCCTCAATTAACAGGAACTTGTAACAAGGGAGTCCAAATCTTGACGCAAGTTTGGCAGATGCCAAGTGACCAATATCCTTGGTTTGGTAGGTCTAGATCCCTAAAAATCCTCAAAAGAATCAATCCGGTCAAAGAAGGGAGAAACCGGACTGCAACAGAGGACGTGCTTTTATCCAGAGTCTCACTTTATGGCGGTCCTTTAAATGACAGTGTCACAAATGCAAATTTCTTTTCTTCCTTCTTTTCCTAAATTTCCTGGTATACCCGCATACTCTGGACGTGAGCATTAAATCAAGGACAAAAAGCAATTTCACCAAGACGCTAGATATCCACTAGCAACCTGAGCCTGGAATGACACCTAGTTATTACAAGAACTAGACCTAGAGTGTACTTATTCTTCTGTGGTTTAGCACTTATCGCCAAAATTTGGCGATAGATATCTCTCGGGGATAACTTCTTTATTGGGTATAGCAACCTGCACACCTACAGATTTAAGTTTTCTTTTTATCATTTTCACCACAGTGAGCTTTGTATCCCACGCTTTCTCTGATTTGATCGGATTTACCTTTAGATTTCCGTTGCCGTAGCTAAGGTAGTAACCTAAGCTTTCGGTAACTCACCTTCAGCGGTTCGGGATTTTAAAAATATAAAATTTCTACCATCCCAAAACCTTAGTTCTATTTCATCTGGAACGAACATCGGAAAGAACGTGTGCGACAAACTTCAGTAAACACCAAGCCACATGACCTTGTAAGTGAGCGCTCTAAAGAGCCCTGCAGAATTGACACCGACAACCCGAGACTCAAGGAGTAGGTAATACGTAGGGAATACAAGGGAGAGATCGCCAAATCAGCAAGGTCGCAACCAACCAAACCCTATAGAAAAAGGGTGGTGATTATAGAAGATAAACTAGCTACAGTAAGAATAATCGAGTACTTGCTTGCAGAGCAGGCCCGTACACGACGCTGACAGAGATATATCACAAGGAAAAATATCTCTTAGGCGTATCTTAACGGTAGAACCCATGGGCTCTTGCAGGGACTCGGATATTAGGAGATCTGGTCCGAAATCAAAAACGGCCCGCCAAAAAACGACGTTACTCCTCGGGTATTGCGTTTGAAGCTGACTCAGGAATACGGGACGATGAACACATGCTTCTGATGAATATATTCGTGCTATGCGCAAATGCATGTAGCATCCTTAATAAGCGGGCTCACTTAATAGTTCTGCACAGAACTAGCTGGTTTTGATCCCTAGAAATCATATCCGAGAGCTCAAGGCTACAGTGACAACAGTCTCTGGAACATGGACAAGCCAGGCTGAGGTACCACGACAGGCATCTTTCAGAGGCAATAAAACCCCGAAATGAAATGTGTGTGTACTTACATGTAGCTACAGCTGCATGTCCTACACCTAACTACACGTATATCTAGTTGTGTGAGTACGTTTCTTTTCAATGAATTTTTTATTTATCTCCAAATCTCGTTTTATTTCAATCCAAAATATAAAAAGGGTCGTTGGATTGAGAAACTGTTAAAGTTGGAAGGCGTTTTGGGTCGAGACAGACATGTTATGTCGCAGAACAGATTAGAGTGTTTATGAGATGAAACAAATTAGCACAATGATAAGGTGCGACAGCTATTGGGTATAAGTAGCTTCGTGAACTGGGGCGTATATGTGTCGGCGGTGGTGCTCCGTTTTTTGCGTGTAACCCTGAGTGTCCCCTTAGGGATGCCGATGGGGAAGGCTTAGGAAACGCCATGCCCCTGCAGGGGCATCCCCATGGTACTCGCAAGGAGACACTCGTGCTACCTGCGTAGGTGCACCTATGGGTGTACCTATAGGTGTATTGAATCCCAAACTATGCTATGACAGCATGCTGTCATATAAAATAGCATTAACAAAAATAATAACTTTGGTAATTACTTCAAAACTATCGATTTTGTGTGAACTCACCGTCAGGAGCTCTTTCTCAACGACATCAGCGACTTTATCAATTCCCTCAAGTTGATCGCGTGTATTAAGGTTTTCTGTGCAAATTAATAAGGGAACTTCGGATTCCATCAAAGCGTTTTCTAAACGACGTTTTTCCTTGATTAGTAAGTCTGTTTCAGCTATCGTATCTTGAATTTCCCTGTCAAGTTCCGTTTTCCAGAACAAAATGTCGTGAACGCGTTCTTTGAGACGTTTTGTTGATTCTCTTTGGAAACGGTCTGTTATTGCATTAGTAGTTTGTATTAACTGGATAATATTCGTTTTTTTTACACGGAAAAACTCACGTCTCGTGACTGTCCTGAAATTTCTTTAGAGATATTGCGATCACTAGAAGCCAAATCATATTTTTCTTCATGATACTTTATCCATTCTGAAGGACTGTACTTCGCGCATCTCAATCCAATAGTAGCTAGGCCACCCTGCTTAGGTACAATCATGTCTGACTGAATATCATTATCCCCGTTCATCATATACATAGAAGCCGTTTCAAAAAATTCACTTATATGTTGCCATAACAACGANCAATTGAGTGCTCAATATTTGAAGACAAAAAAACAAACTTGGAAGAGTCAACACTATTGGGGGAACGAAATGGGACAGAAAAGTAATAATTCAAAGGAATTCAGGGCTCCGGCCACATCAGCTGAAATTCACAACTGGAAAAGTCAAGATTTGGAATTGATTGGTGAAGAAAGGTGCAGACAACAGCATTGGTTAGGAATGAATGGGAAGTGTAGTACGGACGTCATAACAGGTGGTTTCTGACAAAGAAGAGACTTGTGTTTCAGTCACAAGTAGGGTGATAAAAGAATGGAAAAATGGTGTACCGAAATATTGTAGTTATTAGGTCTGCAAATGTCAAAGAGGGTCATCTTTTAGCTCGTTCGTACAACCATAAACCTTGCACTTGAGATGCGGATTTAGGCGACCACGGTCGCCCAATGGAGTCAGAAAAACAGCCCACGGATAACAACAAACTGTCATAGCCAAGTATTGTCTAACGTGACACGCATGAAACCGTACTACATTTGGCTCGACCCACAAGTCCTGTGAGCTGACCCAGGAATTTCAGAACTGGGCAGCGGAGACGTTATTGTAATATTTTAGCCTAACGTCTCGATTCCCCACAAGATGAACGGCCCTTGTGCCATTAAACTAGCAATAAAGAAAGAATAACTCACATGCTTGATAGAAGCAAAGTCACATTCGAATGTAGGTTCGGCAGCCTCACAATGCACCTCTTCCACCTGCTTTTGCGTTTTTACTACTTGTATCTTTTCAGAACCGGTCGATATTGGCGGTTTCTCCTCGGAAATAGCCGTATACGTTGGAGATGATTCGATGGGAAGACCTGATTTGCCTAAGGGTTCTGCATCTTGCAAATTCTTACTATTCTGATTGATATCATACGAGGATTTCTCGCTGATTATATTTATTTCAATATCCGGTCCTTCATCTGCACTTTCGAAGTGATCGCTATCGTCATCCATGTGGACACGAATTATCTGGGGCAAGCGACTAATTGCAGTTCAGTTCAGTTCAGTTCAGTTCAGTTCAGTTTGCACAGGACGATGTGTGGCCCAGG